GTCTGTCCACCCTGTGTGTCCGCCTGTGTGTCCGCCCTTGTCTGCCCTGTGTGTCCACCTGTCTGTCCGCCCTGTGAGTCCACCTGTCTGTCCACCCTGTGTGTCCGCCTGTGTGTCCGCCCTTGTCTGCCCTGTGTGTCCATCTGTCTGTCCGTCCTGCGTGTCTGCCATGTGTGTCCGCCTGTCTGTCCGCCCTGTGTGTCCGCCTGTGTGTCTGCCCTGCGAGTCCATCTGTCTGTCCGCCCTGCGTGTCTGCCCTGTGTGTCTGTCTGTCTGCCCTGTGTATCCATCTGTCTGTCTACCCTGTCTGTCTGCCCTGCATGTCTGTCCTGTGTGTCCGGCCTGTGTGTCCATCTGTCTGTCCGGCCTGTGTGTCCATCTGTCCGTCTGCCCTGCGTGTCCGCCCTGTGTGTCCACCTGTCTGTCCGCCCTGTGTGCCCGCCTGTCTGTCCGCCCTGTGTGTCCACCTGTCTGTCCGCCCTGTGTGCCCGCCTGTCTGTCCGCCCTGTGTGTCCGCCTGTCTGTCCGCCCTGTGTGCCCGCCTGTCTGTCCGCCCTGTGTGCCCGCCTGTCTGTCCGCCCTGTGTGTCCGCCCTGTGTGTCCGCCTGTCTGTCCGCCCTGTGTGCCCGCCTGTCTGTCCGCCCTGTGTGTCCGCCCTGTGTGCCCGCCTGTCTGTCCGCCCTGTGTGTTCGCCTGTCTGTCCGCCCTGTGTGCCCGCCTGTCTGTCCGCCCTGTGTGCCCGCCTGTCTGTCCGCCCTGTGTGCCCGCCTGTCTGCCCGCCCTGTGTGTCCGCCCTGTGTGTCCGCCTGTCTGTCCGCCCTGTGTGCCCGCCTGTCCGCCCGCCCTGTGTGTCCGCCCTGTGTGTCCGCCTGTCTGTCCGCCCTGTGTGTCCGCCTGTCTGTCCGCCCTGTGTGTCCGCCCTGTCTGTCCGCCCTGTGTGTCCGCCTGTCTGTCCGCCCTGCGTGCCCGCCTGTCTGTCCGCCCTGTGTGCCCGCCTGTCTGTCCGCCCTGTGTGTCCGCCTGTCTGTCCGCCCTGTGTGTCCGCCTGTCTGTCCGCCCTGTGTGTCCTTCTGCCTCAGGAGCAGGCCTCTCCTGGGGGCCGCCAGGCCCTCCCCGGGACGTACAGGATGAAGGTCTCCTCCCAGACGGGGTTGAGCGTCTGGCTGATGACCTGCGTGCGGTGTGTCTGCTCCTCGGGGATGGTGTGCCTCACCACGGCCTTCGGCTGCCGCCGCCGCGCCCCCGGGCTGCCCCCCGGCACGCCCACCCCCTGCTCGATGCCCAGCAGGCAGTAGGGGTCACTGAACCCTGCGGAGAGGGGGAGGGTGTTGGCGGCTCCATGGGCGGGTCCTTCACCCCCCCAGACCCCGAGGGCAGGGGCCGCCAGCGCCAGGGCAGCCTCGGGGCAAAAGGGGACCGAGCCGCCCAGAGTCCGGACAGACTGGTGCCGGCGGGGAGGGCCGGAGAGGCCCTGGGGCACCGCTCACCGCTGACGTCCTTGCCCAGGATGCCCTTGGCCTGCTTCACCGTGGCCTTCAGGCAGAACACCGGCTTCTGCAGAGAGAGGGGCGCCTGAGCGGCGAGGGGTCTCCCAGCCCCGGCCTTGCCCGGGGGCCCGGGGCCCGGGCCGGTTACCTCGAGCTCCTGGACCTGCTGCAGCATCCGCTGGTGCTCCTCGGGCTCCATGTGGAAGGCCTGAGGAGGCGAGGGGGCGAGGGTGGGAGCGGCAGGCGGGAGGAGGGTGCCCGAGTCCGGGATGGGGGGGATGGAGGGGATGGGGGGAGAGGAGGGGAGAGGGGGGAGGGGGGAGGGAGAGGGGAGAGGGGGGAGGGGGGGAGAGGGGAGAGGGGGAGGGGAGGAGAGGGGGAGAGGGGGGAGGGGGAGAGGGAGGGAGAGGGGGGGGGAGGAGAGGGGAGGGAGAGGGGGAGAGGGGGGAGGGGGGAGAGGGGGGAGAGGGGAGAGGGGGAGGGGGGAGAGGGGGAGAGGGAGGGAGAGGGGGAGAGGGGGGAGGGGGGAGGAGGGAGAGGGGGGGGGAGAGGGGGGAGGGGGGAGAGGGGGAGGGAGGAGAGGGGGAGGGGGGGAGGGGGGAGGGAGGGGAGAGGGGGGAGGGAGAGAGAGGGGGGAGGAGAGGGGGGAAGGGGGGGAGAGGGGGGGGAGGGGGAGGGGGGAGAGGGGGGAAAGGGGGGGAGAGGGGGAGAGGGGGGAGAGGGGGAGGGGGAGAGGGGGGCGGGGGGAGGGGGAAGAAGGGGGAGGGTGGGGAGGGGGGTAGTAGAAGGGGGACAGGGGGTGCCAGCTCACCTCCCGCAGGTAGCGCAGCAGCTCGGAGGCCTCGGTCACGTGGCTGGGCTCGGGCTTGCCCACGCGGTGCAGGACGGTTGTAGAGCGCCTCCTCGTACAGCAGGGCCCGCTGGGGCACAGCGGGGTCACGGGGTCACCTCAGCCCCCCCCCCCCAGGCTGAGCCGCACCAGGCCCGGGCGCCCGCCCGAGGGGAGGGAGGGGCCGTGGCCGCCTGGGAGGGTGCAGGCTGCCTCGGCCGCTCTGCGCCCACACCCCTTCGGGTCCTCACCTGCTCCGGGGAGAAGTGGTGGGATGGAGGCTCGATCTGGGGACGAGGGGGAGAGACAAAGTGGGGGCCGGGTCAGGGCCTGGACGGCAGGCGGCTCCGCGCAGAGCAGGCCCGGCCTCCAGCCCACCTGGTCCCCCGGCAGGCCTCCGGGGGCCCCGGGCCCGCGGTGGCCGAGGTCCATCGGCGCGCAGCTGCCCCAGCGGGAGGCTGGCCCCTTCCTCCCCCAGAGGAAGCACAGCCTTATCGGCGGGCGCCGGCCCAGCGGCGGAAGTGAGGCCGCGGAGGTGGGAGCGGGGTCATGGCGAGCCGCCTGCCCCGTGGGGCCGGGCCTTTGGAGCCTGAGGAGCTGGGGGGGTTCCCACCAGAGAGGGGGGCTCAGACCCCGACCTGAGGCCCAGGGACGGCCCAGAGGGCACGGCCTGCTCCGCTGACGGAGGCTCTGCCAGGGGGTGGGCAGGAGGCGAGCACAGGAGGGGGCCCCGCCCGCCAGCGCTGCGCCCGGAGGCACGCCTACCTCGCGGGCCGGCCGGGGCGGGGGATCCTCGCCGGGGACCCTGCGGCGCCTTATCTTGATGGCCTGTCGCAGGAGGGGGGGGCGCCGCTGCGGGTGGGAGAGGAGCGTCGCCATGGCAGGGCAGATAGCGGAGCCGCACGATTGGGCAAGGCGGGCGGCCCCTGAGCCGGGAGGGCGGGGGCAGGTGGGGAGCGGGCAGGCTGGGGTTTCACCACCTCGGAGGCCGCGGGCCCTGGCCTTCCTCCCTCCCTCCCTCCCTCCCTCGGCGGGGACCCGGGAGGAACTGCGGGCTGAAGGTGGCCTCATGGGCGGGCCCGGCCCCACCCACCCCGCCGCCCGCGGAAGCGGAGGTCCGTGCTCCCCAGCAGGGGGCGGCCTCCCTGGGGGGGGCTTCCCACCCACATGTCCTGGATGGGCCCCCAACCTGGGTGTGGGTGTGGGTGTGGGTGGGCAGGACGGAGTGGGGGCTCCAGGGAGGTGCCTCCCCGGCAGGTGGCCAGCCTGCTCCACCCAAAGGCGACATTCCGGCGAGGTGACGGGCCAGGCTGCTGCGGGCCAGGCTGCGCCAGGCAGGGACGCCCGAGGGCCCTGCCCCCAGGACAGCCAGGAGGGCGCCCCTCAGTGCTGCCGAGGCTGGGGCAGAGGGGGAGGCCGGGCAGGGCCTGGCCTCTCTCCACAGGACACCCTGGTCCGAAGAGGCAGGAAAGTGGACACTCGGGGCTCGGCTTTCTCAGAGCTCAGGACCTGCCCAGGCCAAGCCCGGGCCAAGCGCAGGCTGCGGCGGGGGGAGGCGGGGAGGGGGGACAGGCCTGGGCATGGACCTGGGCTCCTTCCTGCCCCCTGCCTGGCACTAAGGGTCACGAGGGGGGCGTGAGCATGTCCCGTGGGCCAGTCCGGCCGGCTCCAGGCGCCCCGGGGAGCGGGGACAGGGCCTCCCAGGGAGCTGGCCGGCCTCCAGCTCCTCCGGGCACTGCCGGCGGCACCAGCCGGCCCCGGGGGATGGGGGGGCGCAGTTGCTGAGTAACCGCTGGGAAATGGAGACCAGAGGCCTTGGCTTCCTGGGCCCCAATGGGCCGCGAGAACAAGGGCCTCCCACAGGACACGCACACACACACCCCGGGCCTCGGAGCCGCCTGCCGCTCTCCTCCCCGGGCCCCTCGGTCACAGAGCCAGACGCGGTCCAGGTTCTTCACTTTTACTTCTTCACATTCCAGCGAACAGATCAAGGTGCAAACAGGTTTATTTCACATTCATATATTAACTGGAATTGTGTGTCAAATAAATAGGGCGTTCTCTTTACATAGCCATCTCCACTGCCGGCCAGTCCAGGGGCGGGGGCACGTCGGAGTGACTCGGGGCGCGTGCCCTCGGGGAGCTAAGGGGGGCGGCAGGGCCGCGAGGGGCCAGGCAGGGCCGGCAGCGGCCTGTGCCCAGCCCGCCCAGCGGGGGCATCGGGCGCACACCTTCTCCAGGCCCAGGAGCCCCTTCTGGGCGGGAGGGGCCGAGGGGAGCCAACCCCAGAAACACGAGCAGAAAGCAGGGGTTCGCTGCTGAGCCTCAGTGGGTGCCCGGGGGAATGCCACCAGCCTGGCGGAATGCCACCCGCCCCAGAAGCGGGGGGGGGGGGGAGCGAGGCGGGAGGGAGGGGAGATGGGGTGACGGAGGCAGGGTGACGGGGGGGGGCGAGGGGAGTGACAGTGGGAGAGGGGGAGGCGGGGGGGGGAGGTGGGGGGAAGGGGAGATGGGGTGACGGAGGCAGGGTGACGGGGGGGGGCAAGGGGAGTGACAGTGGGAGAGGGGGAGGCGGGGGGGAGGCGGGGGGGAGGGGAGATGGGGTGACAGAGGCAGGGTGACGGGGGGGGGGTGAGGGGAGTGACAGTGGGAGAGGGGGAGGCAGGGGGGGGGGGGGGGGGGGAGGGGAGATGGGGTGACGGAGGCGGAGGCGCTGGGGTCGGAATGTGAGCGGACACCAGGCCGGGGGCCGGGAATGTGGGAGGCTGGGCCCTGGGCGGACGGGAGGCTGGGCCAACGTGGCCGCCAGAGGGAGCCGGACAGCGCAGAGGAGGGGAGAGCCCTCGAGGGGAGAAGCTACTAGAGCAGGACAGGAGCTGGGGGCCCGCGCCCAGGAGAGCCCGCTGTGCGAGGGGTGCGCCCGGCAGGGGGGCTCCGGTCGGGGGAGCTGGGGGGCAGCTCCCAGCCAAGGGGCCCTCCTTCCCTGGACGCCGGTTCCTGGCAAGTGTTTATAGTCAGAGCTGGAGAGGAACAGGCCCCCGTCACCCTCCGGCCCCGGGGGGACGAGGATGGGTGACCAGAGGCGGGAGGCGGGGTCTACTGGGTCTTCTTATCCTCCGGGGGGTAGTAGGGAGGGGGCGGAGGCTGGTTCTGTGAGGGAGGAAGGGAAGGTCAATCAGAAGGTTCGAACCCAGCCAGGGTCTCCCCACCCCCGGCCCCAGCCACCCATGGCCGCCCCGCTCCGCCCCACTGCCCCCCACCTGCCCCGTCCTAGGCGGCCCCCTCGGCCCCGTCCTATGGCCCCCCCCGCCCCGTCCTATGGCCCCCCCCCGCCCCGTCCTATGGCCCCCCCCGCCCCGTCCTATAGGCGGCCCCCCCCCAGGCCCCGCACACACCGTCCTGTGGCCCCCGCCCGCCCCGCACGCACCGTGGGCATGTAGACGGTGTGCGGGTTGTCCGGGTTGTAGTAGGCGCTGGCGGCTGCCTCTGCAGCCTTGGCTTCGGCTGTGAAGGCAAACGCCAGCTGAGCCTCCCGCTTCTCTCAGCCCAGCGGCCGCACTGCTCAGGGCAGGGCGCCTGGACCCCGCTGTCCACAGCTCAGCCCTGGCTTTTCCTTAGCCCCCCACCTGCCACTGTCCCCCCCCCCCCTCCCCCGTCCTCCCCCCCCCGCCCCTCCCGGTCCTCCCTTCCCGCCTCCTCCCGCGAGGTGGCCCGGAGCCATCTGCTCGGAGCTGAGCAGCTGAGGCCCAGGCAGAGGGAGACCGGCCTGGACCCGGGCCGTGCCCAGCTCTGCACCCTGAGCCCCACTGTGCCTGGGCGCCCCTGGGCAGGGCAGGCCCACCGGGCTCCCAGCAGCATCCGCGTCCCAGCCCCTCCGTGCGGCCCGGGGCGGCCGGCTCACCTGCGGGAGTGGAGGGGACTGCAGGGCCGCTGACCGGCGGCTCCATGGGCCCCGGGTAGGGCGGCGGCGGGGGCTGCACGTACCCCATGGCCCCGTCCATCATGGGAGGTCCTGGATAGAACTCTGCTCGGCAAGAGGGACAGGCCGGTGAGCGGCCAGCCCGTCAGGCTGGTCTCCCCGCTCCGCCCCGGCCGGGGGGGGGGGGGGGGCGCGGACACACTCACCGGGCGGGGGCGCCGGGTAGGGGTAGCCGGGAGGGCAGGGGTACATTCCGTTGGCGACGGGCGGGGGGAAGACGTAGGGCCCGCTGGGCAGGTAGGAGTAGCCATAGGCTCCGGGCGGGGCTTCGCCTCGGGAGGCTGTAAGCACAGGAGGGAGCTCGGCCTCGGGCTGGGAGGGCCACCCTGGGAGGGGAGCTCAGGGTCCGGGATGAGCACAGCAGCTGGGCCTTCTCCCGCCACCTGCTCCCCCGCACTTGGGCTGACCTTGGTCAGAACAGGGCGAGGGGTCAGGATGGGGACAGAGGTCAGAGTGGGGAGGACAAGAACAGGGGAGAGAGGGAGGGAGGGAGAGGGGAGGGAGAAAGGAGAGGGGAGAGAGGGAGGGAGGGGGAGGGGAGGGATGGAGAGGGGAAAGAGGGAGAGGGGAGGGAAGGAGAGGGGAAAGGAGAGGGGAGGGATGGGGAGGGGAAAGAGGGAGAGGGGAGGGAAGGAGGTAGGCTTGGGACTGGGGCTGGTGAGGCTGCCTGTGCACACAGCTCCAGGCACTTCAGGTGTCTTTCTGTCTGTCTGAGGGTTCCTGTCACACACACCCCCCCCCAAGCAGCTTAATAGGGCGTTTGGGTTTCATGAGGCCAAACAGCTTCGGCCGAGTGTCCAGACGGCGCCAGGCGGGAGCCTGCAGGGAGGACAGGGCGGTGCCAGGCACAGGCTCCCTCCCCACGCCCAGCCTGTCAGCCCGGCCGAGGCTTCTCCCCTGAGTGTTTAAAACCAACGTGACCAAACCCAGGAGCAAACACGGCGCATGTCACCGCCCTCCCCGTCTGCGGAGCCCGATACCTTGCGAGGCCACCTGCAGCATGCGCTGTCCGAACTCGATGGCGCCCCCTGCCATGAAGGTCAGCTTGTACGAGGCAGAGCCTTCCCAGCCGCCTGAGGACGATAGCCAGGCCAGCAGGTCACCTTCCCACTGAGCCCGCCGGTCCCTCGCCCCCAGCGCCCGCTCGGCACCGACAGCACCTGCCCGGGGCCCCTCCCAGGAGCAGGCACCGTCACAGCCACTGACGTTCAAGTTCAGAGCTGACCTCCCGAGGGGCCTAAGGTGGACTCTGCACCCGCGGGCCCCTCAGGGACAGTGCCAGCCTCGGGCCAGGGGAGGGCGGGGGCTGGCAGAGGTCCAGGCGCCCGTGGAAGAGCTGCCAGGCAGGGCCTCCGGCATCAGGAGCAGCTCCTCAGGCTCCAGGGTGGCCGCCCGGCACCAGCTCCCACTCGGCTCAGTCCCTGCCCTCCCCTCTGCCAAGGTGGTGCACTTCCCACCCTCGCCAACCTAACCGCCCTCCGCGGAGCAGCCGGGCCAGGGGTGGGTGCTGGGAGCTAACGGGGCCGGAGGCGGCCAGCTGGGCGGGAAGGGACCGGAGAGGCCATCTCCAAGGCAGCGAGCGCCCCTGGGAGCCCCGGATGTCCTCAAACCCCTCCCCCCCCCGCACCCACCTCCTGCCTCAGCCTGCACCGTCCCCTTGATGTAGTTCGCCCCGAACACGGGCTGCTTGATCTCGCAGTCCTTCGTCAGGTAGAAGGGCATCATGAAGGACCGCATGGCATCCTTCCCCTTGGACAGAAAGATGACCTGCAGCGCGAGAAGACGAGACAACTCCAGCCAAACCGCCGCCACCGCGCCCTCGCTTCCTGTGCAGGGCGGTCCAGCCAGGGCGGCGGGCAGCCCGAGCGGGGCCAGCGGCCGGCTCCGCCGCACCGGCCCTCCGGGCCCCCCGAGCCCCCCGGGGCCAGGCTGCGCCCCCGAGGACGGGCCTCGCGGGGGGGGCGGGGGGCAGACTGCCGCCACTCAGGCGGACGGTGCGGGGCGGCAGGCCGCACAGCTGGGCAGAGGCGGGGGAGGCCGGGAGGAGTCGGAGGGAGGGGGGCGGAGGGACCCCTCCCCAGACAGCACGTCCCCCCTCCGCGCGGCAGAACCACCTGTTTGCACCCACAGCCCAGGGACCGGAGGTGCCTGACCCCCCCATGGGCGTGGAGCCTCCCCTTTGGCCGCCAAACCCGGGTGAGGCGAGCCTGAGCGTGGGAGCCGGCCTTCCCAGCAGCGCCCGCGGTGTTCCTCTGGTGGCCCTCAGGCGAGGGCCCTGCAGCCGGCCCTCCCGCTCCGCAGCTCCCGCTGCCGCAGCCTGGCCACCAGGTGCCCGCTCCGATGTGCAGAGGCCGGGCGGCTACGCCGACGGAAATCCAGACGGCAGCGCCCCCGGCAGGCCCGGGACACGGCCTCTCGGCACGGCGCTGGGCCGGCACTCCGCTCCCCGGGGCCACCGGCTGCTACAGCGGGCGGTTCTGGGACCCAGCGGCGGTGGCAGAGCAGCTCCGAGCGAGGAGCTAACTTCGCGTGGTCCAGGGGCCACTGGGCTCGCGGACTGAGGCTGCCCGGGACCCAGTGAGCAGGCGCCACGGCCGGGTGACTCACCCGGTACGGGGTCAGGTAGACGGTGCCTTTCTTGGTCCCTTTGAAGGCCTCCGGCACGTTCTTCATGTCGCTGAACGTGAGCTCCACATGCTCGTAGGACATGAGGATGCTGCGGTGGGAGAGGGTCTGGTGAGTCTGCAGCCGCGGTCCCTCACCGGGACGGACCCTCCGAGAGCAGGGGCCCGCGGTGGCCTCGTCACAGCGCAGCGTGGCTGCAAGGAAACCGCTCCCGTGGCCCTGGGAGAGGCCCAGCCCACTGCCCCCGGAGGGCCCGTGCGGCAGAGCGGCCGCCGCTGGGCGAGCAGGTGAGGTTATCTGAGGTCACGCCCAGCTCCTTCCGAGTCCTATGATAGGTGTTCCTTCCGTTTTCCTTGTTTTTTATTTTTATTTTTCATGTGTTTATTGATTTCAGAGAGGAAGAGAGAGTGTCAGAAACGCCAAGGATGAGAGAGAATCATTCATCAGCTGCCTCCTGCATGCCAACTGGGCACTGAGCCTGCCACCCCGCGTGTGCCGACCGGAAACAAATCACAGGCTGACACTCTATCCACTGAGCCACACTGGTTAGGGCCGTGGTCAGCAAACTCATCAGTCCACAGAGCCAAATATCCACAGCACAACGATGGACATTTCTTTGGAGAGCCACAGTTTTTAAACTTAAACTTCTTCTAACGCCACTTCTTCAAAAGACTCGCCCAGGCCGTGGTATTTTGTGGAGGAGCCACACTCAAGGGGCCAAAGAGCCGCCTATGGCTCTCGAGCCACAGTTTGCCGACCACGGGGTTAGGGTGTTCTTGGTTTGTTTTTTAATCCTAACGCAGGATCACACGCTGTTAAACAGCTGATGGGGGTTCCCTGAAACCCGGGGCCGTAGCTGGGCCTGCAGGGATGCCGGGCGCTGAAGCCGGAGGGACCCTGTACCTGCGTTTTCCCCGGGAAAACCTGTAGCTCTCCTCACTCGCAGGGGGTTCAGACCTGCAGAGTGAGGAGGACTGGTTCACACAGGAATCTCTGAGCGGGAATTTAAACCTCCAAGACCGTGTACACGGTGTTTTTGGGAACAAGGCACCACATTACTGAGCAGCACTGAGCCCTGCGCCAGGCAGGCTCCCGTCCCAGTGAAAGCGCACTGAGAGGTAAGAACAGCCCCGGGCGGCGTCACCACAGGGCACCGAAGTGTTTGTCAGGCCAGGGACTGGCACGGGCACAGAGACAACCAACTGGGAGCCACGTGAGGTTTCTCTGATTGTAAGATAACAAGGTTGGTCTAAGTTCACGTGGTTCCACTGGCCTTCCTCCTCCTCCCAATATCACAACTTCCTTCGCTGGGGAGGGTCCGCGGGAGGGCCGGGCACCGAAAAGGGAAGTTCAGCTCAGAGAAAAGAGGTTGTTACCAGGAACAGGATGCCTGGCGGAGTCCGAGCAGGTAAGACGAGAGTCAGCACTCAGGTGAGGGCGCTAGGCGTTCTCCAGACTCTGACTCACCCAGCGTCCCCGGGGGGCGGCTCCTGGGCTGGGTGCTGCCCGGAGCCGGCTCCGGGCTCCGATCCACCAAATCTGCTCTGGGGACTCGGGCTCCTCCTAAGCTCCTTCCACCTGGACCAAGAGCTTGGGGCTCAGGGCAGGCTGGTCTGATGCTCAAGGCCCAAGGCGCAAGGAGAGAGGAGCCATCCCAGCAGCCCAGACACTGGCAGGGAGGGGGGTGGGGCCAGCAGTAACTGGGGAGGGGGTTGGTAGAAAGAATCTCCAAGTTGGGAGACCTCTGCTTTGGGGAATTCCCAAGCCAACAGCGATGCAAGAGGAAGAGGCAGAAAACGGCAGGAAATGTGTCAGGCGCTGGGCAAACGATCTCTATCTAATCTCAGCTCCGGTGGTGTCTGGTCTGAGCAGTTCTGAAACATACTGGAAGCCTCACCTATTGACTTTGGAGTCAAGGTTCCTTTCCTGGAATTCCATCTCTGTCACAGCTCTGTGATCTCGGGCAAGTTACTTGACCTCTCTGTGCTCCCCCTCCCCCCCAGATTCCCTGCTTGTAAAACGTGTATAGTAACAGGCCTTACGTGTTAAATAAGGTAGGAGAAGGGCAGGGCCCGATGCATAGTAACAAACATAGTCAAAGCCCCATAAACGGCAATTATTTTTGTCGAAGGCTCTTCCCATCACTTAAAAGTCGCCTTTTCTGGGAAAGGGACTCCAGGGCTACCCCCGCGGCCCCACTGGCCTCCTCAAACTCCGTCCCCGTCAGCCGCCCCACCCCCACCCCACCCCCACCCCCCACCCCACCCCCACCCCCACCCTCACCCCCACCCCCACCCCCACCCCCAGCTGATCGCGGAGCCCGGCCCCGCCCCGCGGCCCACCCACCGTCCTCCAGCCCCGCCCCCAGCCGTTACCCCCCCTTCACCGCAGCCCATCAATCTCCCCTCTTCGCCCATTCTTTTGCCCAGCGCCCAGCGCCCACACTCCTGCGGCCCTCCCTTCGGGCCTCCCGGATCTTGTGCGGCGCTTTCACCTCTCGGTGTTGTTGACGATCACTCCGCCGCCCTCCGAGTGGTTCTTGTTGAGCGCCATAGTGTCCCGGAGAGAGGCCCCAAGACTAGCAACGCAGTGCGCCTGCGCTCCTCTGGGCCCGCCCCTCGTGGCGTCGTTAGTAATAGAGCCAGCCAATCACAGCTCTTAGACGGAGGCTGGCCCAACCACCTGATCCCGGGTGTCACGTGGTCAAGAGTTTACACTGTCGTCCTCCGCACCCCTCCCCCCTCCCCCCGCTTCCGCCTAGTTTCGCCTGCATCACAAACAACTGGAAGACTACAATTCCCAGAAGGCAATGCCCCCTCAGCCTCTCCGTGTACTAATGAAGGATGCATTCTGGAACTTGTAGTCTCCCAGACCGTAGGCCTGGATGTTTCACTACCTTGCCTAACTAATCCTCCTGTGGACTCCCCACCTTGTGGAATGAATAGTTGGGCGCATCACAAAGGAAATTAATTAAAAAAAAAAAAAAAAAGACAACACTGGGCATCCCTAGCTGGTTTTGCTCAGTGGATAGAGCCTTGGCCTGTGGACTTAAGAGTCCGGATTCGATTCTTGTTGGGGGCACATGCCCGGGTGGCAGGCCCAGAGGCATGCGGGAGGTAGCTGATCAGTGATTCTCATAATTGTTTTTCTCTCTCTCTTCCCCCTCTCCCTTCCTTTCTGAAATAAATGAAAGTATATTAAAAACAAAACAAACAAACAAAAAAAATACTGGACACAGACTGTGGATGTAATCTGGTGTGTGGAGCGCCGAACAGTCACCTTACCAGGGCATCTTCACTCCCTCAACATTACGGAGCGCTTACTAGATGACTTTACATCCGACTTGGAGAGTCACTGAGCCGTATGCATAGACGAGTGTAAGACCTAGTCTCTGTGGCAGGACGTGGTGGGCTGGGTAGCTGGCAGAGAAGAGTCAAGAAAAACTTTCCCGCCGAAACCGGTTTGGCTCAGTGGTAGAGCATCGGTCTGCGGACTGAAAGGTTCCAGGTTCAATTCCAGTCAGGGGCATGTACATTGGTTGCGCGCACATCCCCGGTAGGGGGTGTGCAAGAGGCAGCTGGTCGATGTTTCTCTCTCATCGACATTTCTAGCTCTCTATCTCTCTCCCTTCCTCTCTGTAAACATTCAATAAAATATATATTTAAAAAAAGAAAAAAAGAAAAAGAAAAACTTTCCCTTCATGACATCAAACCCGGACCCTAGCCCGGCCAGTGTGCCTCAGTGGTTGAGCCTTGACCTGAGAACCAGGAGGTCATAGCTGAATTCCTGTTCACGGCACGTGCCCGAGTTGTGGGCTGGGTCCCCAGTAGGTGACGTGCCAGAGCCCATCAATGATACTCTCTCATCATTGATGTTTTTCTCTCTCCCTTCCTCTCTGAAATCAATTTTAAAAAGCAAAAGACAAACAAAACAAATTAAAGAAAGAAAACAAAACAAAAAAACCCCAGACCCTGATAGGTGGATGGTGAGAATCTCGGTGTTCTCCGCACCAAATTCACTGTCCTAGGGGCTGGGCTCCCACCTCATTGCCGCCTCCACCACAACTGGCCTCCAGGTGGCACTGCTCCCTCTAGAATGTTCTGGCTTTGTGGTCCAGCCTGTCCCCGCAGCATTCTGGCTGGAAGATTTTAAGCAGACTGAATGAAATTAGGCATAATGTGAGGCTGGCAGCTTACAAAATAAGGCTGATTAGTTTCAGCTTGTGACTTGGCATTGGGTGGCCCTAATGGGCATCTGTAGTTAGTGAACTCCCCCACGTCCAGGGGGATTTTTAAGGGGGGATGTGAGCATCTCTCGCTAGCGTAGAGGTGCTGGTGCATCATTCATCTTAAGGGCTCAAGAGTTTCATTCCAGACAAACAGCTAATTTCCTGACACGTGGTGGCCAGTCTCGGGGCCCACCTACTTAATTTAACTTTTTTAAAAATCCTCTCTGTAAAAAAAAAAATCAATAAAATATATTTTTAAAAATAAAAATAAAAAATCCTCACCAGAGGGTATATATATAGAGAGAGTTTGCATGAAGAGAAATGGTTGCTAGGCTATTTTATTTTATTTTGTTGTTTTATTATTTATGTTATTTTATTATATTTTATTTTAGCCCAGTTACCCGCCAGGAGCCCTTTTTAGTAGCGATCTTATTCCTCGGGGTCTAAACTAACAGACACAATCCTGCATACACAGTGCTGTGGCCACACTGAGTCTCCGGACAGGAGGGGAAATGTGATAAGGAGGAAGCCGGATGGAGAGAGATAGCAGGCTTAGCGGATTCCGGCTTAAATGGCCAACTTTTTTTTTTTTTTTTAATATATTTTATTGATTTTTTACAGAGAGGAAGGGAGAGAGATAGAGAGCTAGAAACGTCGATGAGAGAGAAACATTGACCAGCTGTCTCTTGTACACCCCCTACCGGGGATGTGCCCACAACCAATGTACATGCCCTTGACCGGAATCAAACCTGGGACCTTTCAGTCTGCAGACGGACGCTCTATCCACTGAGCCAAACCGGTTTCAACTTAAATGGCCAACTTTTGCAAGTTTTATAAAAACACGTCCTGAGGGCTGCTCCCAGGCCGTAGAGGGCCGGGCGGTTCCCAGCCCTGACACCGTCGGTCCGTCGGTTCAGGGGCAGTTCCATGCTGATCCAAGTCTGCGGCAAAAGCCCCCGTCTGAGCCCAGGCCTCACGCTCAGTCCGCTCCTGCCTTCTAGGCCACACAGGCTCTGCCTGTTTCCAGAAATGGCCGCTTTTTTTTTTTTAATAATATATTTTTACAGAGAGGAAGGGAGAGGGATAGATAGCTACCAGTAGAAACATCGATGATGAGGAAAACATCGACCAGCTGCCTCCTGCACATCCCCTACCAATGTACATGCCCTTGACCGGAATCGAACCTGGGACCTTTCAGTCCGCAGACTGACGCTCTATCCACTGAGCCAAACCGGTTTTGGCCAGAAATGGCTGCTTTTTGTTAAGCTGTAAGTACTCCTCTTCTCCAGACCCAAGCATCTTGAGGTGTGCTAAGAAGGGGTGTGAGTGCGCCTGAGAAACACTGCTCCCCCCCTCCCCAGGGCAGCCAGGTGGGGTCCAAGGTGAGAGCCCCTGGACCCTCCTGACCCCCGAGCAGCTGCATCTCTTTGCCTCAGTGAGCAGAACCAGTATCATTTGTGCGGAACAAAGAATCGCTTTCTTGGTGTGCCAGGTGGTGGCTCTCCGCGGTGGGCAGTTAGACCTGAGCAGAGCGAGGACGATGGGCCAGATTCAGAAGGTCACCATCGAGGAAAGCCTGGGTGCCTAGCAACGGACAATGGCAGGGGGGACCTCGCCCCCGGGGACCTTTCCTCCAGGGCATTCCTCTGGCCATAGGCTTAGACCTCCTGACCTTTCCGCCCTGGCTCTGACCTCTAGGCTCAGGAGCATTTCAGCTCCAGGCCCAGAAAAGCAGCAAAACCGGACCAGCCGCACCAAGGCTGGCCCGGGACTCACCGCATCGACCACAGACCCCTGGCCTGGACACCAGCAGCCTGCAGGGCCACACCTGGAAAGCTGCTGCCGACCCCATTGGGACCCGCCCGGGAGCTCCCCTAAAATCTCCCCCTTAAGCCCTTAGGACGAGGACCCAGTGCGCTCTCCCTGCGGAGCAGGCCCTCACCCTTCTCCAGCCCTCCCCATCCCCTTCCTCACTTTGCCTCTGTAATTTGCTTCCCAAGGCCACTTCTTCTACGAATGACTTCCTCTCCCTCTGGGATTTGCCAGCCAATGTTCTCTGACTGCGTGAGTCTGGGCTCTGAGTTCTTCCCCAGCCAGAGCCCAGGTCCCCAGGTGGGTCTGGCCGCGCCCGTCTCACACCCGGTGCCCTTCCTACTGCCGCCAACACTTCCTTGTGTTTAAACTCTGACCCACAGCGAGCCATGCCTTTCATAGCCAGACCCATACGCCCGGTGCGTATTTATTTATAAATGCAAAGACAGTGGAAATCAGCTGGACATGCAAACAGCCTGCATCGCCACGGCGGGGCGGGGAGACGCAGGCAAAGCCCCAGCCACGCTGCAGGGGCCCACTCTCCCGAGGTCACACAGCAGGGGTCAGAGGTCGTGAGGACCCCCTCCCTCAGCGACTGCCGTTTTCTTACCAGAAACACCCCAGGCAGACTTGGCAATTCCTCACCATTAGGGGGTGCCCCCTGCTAACTGCAAAGGGCAGCACCCAACGCTCGTGAATTCCGCTGCTTCTAATCCCTGCTCAGGGCCAGCAGCCTCCCCCCATCCCCCCAGGATCAGGCTGACCCTGCCTTCCTGTGGACTCTGCTCAGAACCTTCCAGAACCCACACCCGACTGAGACTACTTCCCGCTCCCTCTGGTGGGCCAAGGGCCGTCCTGGGGTGAACTGTCCGGGAGCCACTGTTTGGCCAGAGGAGACAGGGCGCCTGAGCAGAGACAGCTGGTGGCGGGAGCTCATTCCCAGAAACACTTCATGCCGTGAAGGTTTATTGAAAAATGGCTTAAGGTTTAAGTGTTTACACTATTTCCCCCCAAAAGGAGACTGGATTACATCAGCTAAAAAAAGAGGTGCGTTCGGGACAAGTTTTATTTCATATTGTTCTCCAACATTCTCTGTTCTACTTTGTTTTTTTTTAAAAAACTTGCTGCCAAAACCGGTTTGTCTCAGTGGATAGAGAGTCGGTGGGCAGACTGAAAGGTCCAGGGTTCAATTCCGGTCAAGGGCATGTACCTTGGTTGCGGGCACATCCCTAGTAGGGGGTGTGCAAGAGGCAGCTGATCGATGATTCTCTCTCATTGATGTTTCTAACTCTCTATCCCTCTCTCTTCCTCTCTGTAAAATATCAATAAAATATATTTAAAAAAAACAACAAAAACCCTCTAATTGTTGAGCGCTAAGTAGGTTTTGCAATCCTCGTCTGGAAAGCCCCTTCTCATTCCAGAAGGAAGGCCAGGGGTAGGACCTGCGTTCCTGGAGCGGAAGCTGCCCCATATGTATGGCTCCCCATCCAGCGTGCTGTCGGGTGGGCCAGTGTGGCTTACATAGTTCTCAACCTCTGGGGGTGGCAGGATCATTTATATTTTAAAACATATTTGTATTGATTTCAGAGAGGAAGGGAGAGGGAGATAGAAAAACATCAATGATGAGAGAAGATCATTGATGGGTGGCCTCCTGCGCGCCCCCTCCTGGAGATTGAGC